CGAGGGGTGGTGGGTGAAGGCAGGATGCCAGTGCCACTGTTACTTGGGAGCACTGTTAGAGCATGAAGCGTGTGCGTCTGAGGGGTGTAGGTCCTGGCTGTAGTCCTGGTCCATAGGTGCTGCCCACACTGGGGTGTTACTGAGGGGGGGAGATAAAAAAGACAAGAATAGAAAGTAGTAGTAGTTAGGGAAACACAGCGGCACAATTTAGGTTTTGTTAAAATAAGGCAGTGTGCGAAAAAGTACACGTCCCACCGTCCGGGACGTGTCTATTTTACAATATCGTGACAAGGTAAGACTCTTCAATTGACTTTGGTCCGGCAAACAAGTGGACGTTTCTTCGCTCCGATGTTATTGACAAATTATTGATAAATTCAGTTTACAAAAGGCAGAACTCATTCGCAAATTGTACGTGTCCACAATTGTTCGTTTATAAATGTTAGTTTCGGTTCTGCTTGTCGATTCCTAAGGAAATGCATCTCGCCGCTTTCTGTCCAGTTAGACGGGGGCGGGGCGGGGCGGGGCGGGGAGGGGAGGGGCGGGAAGTGTAGCACAGTGGCAGGGTTGGGAAGCAAAACTCGGTTCTGAGGAGGAACAAATAACAATTGTCCGGTCCCGGGATTGATAAGAGTTGTGAGGACAGGAGGCGAGGCCGTGCCCCGCGGACCGCAGAGCTCTCTCTCTATGCTCGGTATCAGCTGATCGCTGCACGGTGCAGCTCAGCGTCTCTCTCTCTCTTTCTACACACAGCGGATCCGCTGCCCGTTTAACAGCCTCATCTTTGTCAAACTTTCTTATGTTCTTTCTCTCACATGTAATGAAGGTTATTAAGCATTTTAGCTCCTGTGTTGTTAATATTGACCGCCATTTCCTTTATGAAGTGAAGCAGCCTCCCTGTGTCCTCGCGCTGTCCTCACATCCCCGGACCCCCAGACTCGGAGGAGCACAGGGATGTCAGTATTGTTTATGAAGCAGGGTATAGAAAGTACATTATTGAAATGAAAATACTATTTATTTACTTTTACAAACAGTGAGCAGCTGGGCAGCTGCAGCATGTGTATTGTAGGACATGTGTAAGCGTGCAAGCGTCTTTGAGTTGTAGAAAAGCGCTAGGCCTATAGGCTATAAATATAATGTATTATTATTATTATTATAAGGCCTATGTGTTGGACATGTGTGGTTGGACTCTGTCTCACAGGCAGGTTGCAGTGTAACATCAGAGGAGACTGGGCCAATTGTACATTGTCAAACTGCACCACTTAAAACTAACTAAACAATGCAGAGATTATTTTTATATAATTGTATTCAATAACCGTAACAGATTAAACAGTATGAAGTGATTTGTAAATAGGAATACAGATTTGACTTAATGTTTTCATAAATATATTTTTCTCCCAGTTTTTCATGGGACTTATTTTTACCCTCTCAAAGAACCGGAATCGAGAACCGAAAATGACTGGAATCGAAAAGCAGAACCGGAATCGTTAAAATCCAAACGATACCCAACCCTATGTGTGATGCAGTAAAATCTCACCGCTCACTTACGTTAGCGGTGTCGTAAAACCGTGGCAAAATGTAAAATACGATGGAGAAGAAGAAGATTCCAGTGGCCCCAATTTGTGTCCATTCTGGACAAGTGAAAAATGTATTCGGACAAGTAAATTGCCAAACTCACTTGTCCATGGACAAGTACTCTCTAAAAACTTTTTCTCACACTGAAAACCATTTAAAAGTGAGTCACTTATAATTACAATAAGTACACTTATTTGCCTTACCTTCGTTTTGGGATGGATTTTGATTGGCTGTCACTGTTTGTCTTTCATTAAATTGTTTTTTTAAAGCAATCCCAGCAATATAGTTTGTCTTTAGAGTTGTGGCGTGGACTCTGCAATCCACTTGAGTTAAAACTTTTAGTTATATTTTACGTTATCATTCTTTGTGAAGAGGGTCTTTTGTCATTACATAATTTTAAAAAATCCTACAGGTGGTACACTGAAGAAACATTCCGCCCTTACTCCAATCAGAGCCTTAGATATGCTTTAAGGAACAGCTCTCCCTGATGAGATCTCTGATGGTTAAACAACACACTTGTCCTTATTGATTTACGGCTCTATAGGAGGTTATGGGCCATCGGCTCATGCATCAAGGACCTTAAGACATGTTTGTCCTGAACGCTGCGGTCTCTTTGGAGCTTTCTCCACCTCTAGGGTGCTCAACCAGCCCTTCAGTCATTCTCAGCTATAACGAGAATACAGCGGTTTGGACAGTTTGTGCCTAATGGACTGGATTCACTGTCTCGTTAGGACCTGAACAAAATCACTCCAATCACTTAGTAGCTGGCCGACTAAACGGCCATTTAGAATTCCTTCCCCTTCCCTTCCTCTTCTGTTCCTTCCCATGCCGTCAATGTGCCTCTATCAATAATTCACCATGAGGGGCACTGCTGGTGGGGTGTCCTCTTAGTTAATGAAAGAGTGGGGGGGAGGGGGGATTTACAGCTGTACAGGTTGTGCCCCTGCGTAGTAACATCCTGCTCTCTACTTAAACAGAGCAGGCAGAGGAGCACACAGGGTTTTGATCTTCACTTGTTCAATAAAAGAGCCCAGAATAGAACCTCTGAGAGACCCACTCCAGCAACTTTCTCGAAATGTTGTTTACCGCTGGATAGATGCTCGTCCTTGCTTTGCCTCTCTGTGTGTGTGCTTTCATGCGGATACACTCAATAAGTAAGTGTGTTTTTATGTCGGATAGTACACATCATCAGAGGCTCTGATTGCTGCTCACACACCTCACTGAAACCCACTCAGCTGGCTTGTGTGTGGGCATGTGCGTGTCACAGTATATCACCGGAATATGACTCATCTGACTCTGGGGACCTTGAGGCTGGGGGGGAAGGGTGGGAGGGAGACATGCTGACTCACAGAAAACTGATACCAAATACTGTCATCTAAGAACCATGCAAATATGAAAGATGGACTGGTTTGCTGATTTAGTCTTTTTTAGTCCTTTTTCGTCTTTTCTGTCACTTCCTCTTGCTCTTTCCATGTCTCAATGTCACTCTGTGTCCCTGTCCTCAGAGATGACAGTTTCTCAGACACTCTGAGTCAGAAGGCTGACAGCGAAGCCAGCAGCGGCCACGCCGGAGAGGAGAAATGCTCGGGGAAAGACTTGGGTTCGCCCTCTGACATCAGGGTCTCTGAGGCCTATATCACCAGGTTGGTTTCCCACGGCTCTATAGCTGCACTGTTGGACTGCAATGTCTCATTAACCATTACTGTAAGGGACCAAAATGAAAAATATGGCATTTTCTGAATATTTTCATTATCTGTACAATTCACAAGAACTGAACATTTTCCATTTTGAACTGATGTGTTTTCCAAAGCAGTGTTTTGAAAAAGATGATTCTTATGTGTATTGTGCATTATAATTGACAGTACCTAACAAGAAAAAAGCAAATATGTGTACCAAAGTGCTTAAAGGGGACCTATCATGCAAAATGCACTTTTGTACGTCTTTTATACATGAATATGTGTCCCCGGTGTGTCAGGGATCTCACCTAGTGTCAGAAAACACAACCCTCTCTCTTTGCCTCCATACCCAAATCTCTACAAACGGGGCTGCAACGGATCTGATACAGACTGATCCAGATTTGAAATATCTCTGACGTCAGAAACGAGGAGCTCCGCCTATATGGGCAACAGCCACGGCCATTGCCGTTCGAAAGCGCTGGAGACGCTGTAGTACATATGCCAGGCCTGTAGGTGGCGCTGTAGTCTGCCACAAAAGCAGCGAAGAAGACTTCTCAGATTCAGCCCTTGCAAAAACAGGGNCTCTCTCTCTTTCTACACACAGCGGATCTGCTGCCCGTTTAACAGCCTCATCTTTGTCAAACTTTCTTATGTTCTTTCTTTAACGCGTAATGAAGGCTATTAAGATAGCCTTCATTACGCGTTAAAGAAAGAACATAAGAAAGTTTGACAAAGATGAGGCTGTTAAACGGGCAGCAGATCCGCTGTGTGTAGAAAGAGAGAGAGAGAGAGACGCTGAGCCGCACCGTGCAGCGATTAGCTGATACGGAGCATAGAGAGAGAGAGAGCTGCGGTCCGCGGGGCTCGGCCTCCTGTCCTCACAACTCTTATCAATCCCGGGACCGGACAATTGTTATTTCTTGTTCCTACTCGGAACCGAGTTTTGCTTCCCAACTCTGCCACTGTGCTACACTTCCCGCCCCGCCCCCGTCTAACTGTACAGAAAGCGGCGAGATGCATTTCCTTAGGAATCGACAAGCAGAACCGAAACTAACATTTCTAAACGAACAATGGTGGACACGTACAATTTGCGAATGAGTTCTGCCTTTTGTAAACTGAATTTATCAATAATTTTTCAATAAATCAGGGCGAAAAACGTCACTTGTCCGCCGGACAAGTCAATTGAAAGATCTACTTGTCCGATATTGTAAATAACACGTCCCGGACGGTGGGACGTGTACTTTTTCGCACACTGCAGTTTTCTTAATCGTATGATTTATATCCTAATCTTACTTTCTTTGTCTTGGCAGCGTACAGCAGTAACAGGTGTAGCTTGTGTGTGAGGCCACAGTTTACAGTAGGGTATTGTTCATCAGGGTGGATGCTAACATTGTTAACGTGTATATTTATCCTTCTGGTCTCATTCTTGGTGTGGACGGCCCTTAGAGTGTTGAGTCTGTGAGGCTTTACTGAAGCAAAGGTTTACTTTGAGCTAAATGCTAATATCAGCATGCTAGCACGCTCAAAGTGACATGGTTAACATTACTCCTGCAAAAAATCTGACATGTTAAGCACCGGAGCATGTGCAAGTTAGCGGAATATAATAGTTATAAAGAAAAAATACATTTGTATCTTGATGTTGGTGCTAGATGAAAAAAAGAACCGAAGATAGTTCAGTGGCTTTCTCTCATGAGCTTGATGCTGATAGGATACATTGATTTTCACATCTTAAATGACGCTCGATGAAAACACTCACATGTCTTGGACCACGATGTACTGGTGTGGCACCAGGCCATCGATGCCGTTGTGCCGCCCCTCCCACCAGTCTTCTGAAGCCCGCTGATACAGCAGCAGGGAGGCGCCCTTCTTGAAAGACAACTCTCGGGAAGAGCGCCCGACGTAGTCAAACTTGGCGATGGCTTCAATGGGCTCACCCTCTGCCAACGGAGAGAGAGGATTACACAGGTCAGGTATGTCAGACAGGGCAAACACATCAAGGAGAGTCGGCTATTATCGCATGTGCAGAAATTTTTTATGATCGACACAGGTGGTGCTATCGTATGAGATCAAAAATGTTGACTTGTTGGCTTGACTGCAGGAGAGTCACGTCTAAAGCCGGCATGTTTGCGCATGAGGAGCCAGTTGGATATATTAGTATTTGTCATTAGTAACCCTGCTCTACAACGGTAGGCCCTGAGGACCTTTAGAAGGATATTTATAGGAGCTTGTGAGAGGAGATTGAGGGGCATGTCAGTCACTGAATGGATCATTAGGCTGGGCTGACACCGACTCAATAACTGTACCAGTAGAGCCCTGGATCAGCGACATGGCAAATTAACACGAAGAAAACTAGGCTAGAAGCTACAGAAGGAAGTATTATTATTGCTTGCTGTCATTTTCCGATGATTTCTTCATAACTCTTTTTTTTATCTGCATGTATATTTTGCTGTCTTATGCTTTATGTTTAAATTCTCTTTTAAATGCAATTCCTTTGAATTTACGGCTTCTGTTTTTATCGTCTTTTCAATGGAATCTTAACGTCTGATGTATGTCTTTCCATTCCCTTTGAAGCAATCAGAATTTCCATTTGTGTGATAACTATACAAACAAAAGAGTATTGTCAGTGATGGATAGAGGAGATACAATTATTATTTATTGGCAGTAATTATTCTCTCCAAGTCCATAGTTTATGAAATCCCTTTATCAAAAAGGTACACGTCTCTGAGCCCAATATGCAAGCTCTACAGCAACACCAGTCTAAAAATAGCTTTTTATTTCTCCCTCACTCCTACCTCTGCCCTCCTCCCATCTCACTTTAAGTCAGAAGGACCCCCTGAACAGACCTCGGCCTCAACCAACAGCCACTCTCTTTATACACCGGCTAAATGGATGAAGCTTGTATCGGCTGTGAAAAGCCATCATGGTATATCTTTCACAGGAACAGAGAGACCGTGAGAGAGAGGATATACAGGCAGAGGTTTCCTTGCTTCATTTGGTTGAAAGGATTGACAGGGTGGATGTGACGTGAATTCAATAAAATGTGACAAGCAGAAATTTACTGTCAGAATTAATTTGGCTTCACTGCAGCGGACGAGGCTGTTAATAAAGTGACGGGGCCCTTTTTGGTGCAGGGGATTTCTCTTCCTTGGTTTTTTCTCCATGTCTTTCCCTAACTTCAACCAATCCATCCATTCTGTTCCGGTCTGCAAATGAATGTACGCACACACACACACACACACACACACACACACACACACACACACACACACACACACGTGACGTGGCTGCTGCTGAACACTGACGACTATAAACTGAAATCTTGGTGGATTTTCTCTTTCATGTTGTGCTATAATAACTGAGAATCCCTTTAGATACAACATCCAAGTTACACACAAAGAGACACACACTACGACTGTGTGAGCTGGAGGCCTGTGGTTTAAGAGATACAAACTGTCAGATGTCTTACACAAGCCAGTGGAGCAGAGTCAGGGTGAATGTTGCTCTACTTTTTCCTACATAGATATAGGGGAGCAGAAGCCTGTTTTAAGATATGTTTAAACTCAATACAGGAGAGGGTATAAAACCATTTCTCTTCTTTTTTCTCCTATCCTCCATTTTCCCTGAAGACACATATTCATCCATGGTGTTTGTAGCTACAAAGAGAGCAGGAGCCTTCATGCTGGACATGAAGAGATGAAATGGCTTTAGATGTGGCTCTCTATGGTGAAAAAAGATGACCTTTCCTCTACAATGAAGAACACTGACCTTTCACAATAACTGCACGCCTGCCTGGAGCACTTGACAACAAGGACGTCATGCTACACTCCTGCAAAGTGATAACTAATCAATGTCCTGGGTAATTCACCTCTGACCTTGTTGCAAATTTACCAGCAGATAGAACATCAATGTATTGATGCTGTGCGTGAATTGCCACTCTGAAACTGGCAGTTCATCTCCAGGGCGTGACAGCAGCGGTCCATGAGACCGTCATCTGGGACAACCCCGAGCAGAAATATGCTGAGGCACAATGACAGCATGCTGATGTTGAGCAGGTATAATGTTCATCCATACATAGTTTAGCAGGTTAGCATGCTTACATTTGACAGTAAGCGCGGTTAGGTGCAGCTGAGGTTGATGGAAGGTCATCATTTTCTTTAGGTATTATTTGTATTGAAATGTAAGTATTGACAAGATTATGTCGCTATGTGAAATGAAAATAATAACTAACGTTGTTACAGTCAATCTAAAGAGGGACATGAATGTAGGCCAAATAACTAGAAGTAAAAATATTGACCTCATGGTAGCGCTTGAAGTAAAAGTCAAGCGACCACATAATTAAGTAGGTACCAAACCTTTGGGACCATGAATGTCCGTAGAAACTTTCATTGCAAATTAAAAGGTCTTTAATGGTATTAAATGAGGGTCGAAAACTGGCCCTACGTTTTATAATGCAACTGACCTCACACAATCTTTATCATGTGCAAAATATCACACAAAAACTTTGACCATATGGTGGCCCTTAAGGAACAAATTAGAACATGATTAAAGTCTATAGGTTTAATCCTCTGGGAACCATACATGTCTGTACAGTCGTTCATTTTGCCAGAGAGGGATACTTTAATGCATCCGCCTGTCCGTCTTGTGTCCACTTACTTTAAGGGCAAAGAGGGCAAACACATTTTGAGCCTTGAGAAGAGACTATTTCTGTGTCAAGTGCTGGTAAGCAAACAGGAAAAGTGGTTTCCTTGTGTGTCTGAATCCAAATGAGGTCATGGGGATTTAAAAATAACTGACGACAATAACTTGACCACAGTTCAAGACTCCGCAGGGAGGGATTCAGTGAGGACATCCTCCCCGTCCGCTCAGAGAAGCTTTTGGAACAAAACCATGGTAGCAAGGGATTTCTGGAAAACATAATCCTCTATTAATTACTCAAAGAGTTGATAGCTGCCATCTGTGTTTTGCAGTGGGAATCTTTAGAAGTTTCCTCTAATCAGATGTCCCTTTTTATAAAGGACATCCAGTTGATGACTTTCATTTGGAAGCAGTGATGAACAGCTGATGTAGTGAGATCAGATCAACCAGATTTTCATACTACGTCAATGGAGCCTAATGACGTGTGGTGACAGGGAGCCCCTAAAAATCATCTCAGGGTGTCAAAGGAGACAGGATTTGGGCACTTGTTACCATGGAAACAGGTCTAGGGGAAGTCTGCTTCTAAGATATGGAGCTTGGGCTCTCTTGTCATAGCTGCAGCTTTATTGCGTTTTTCTGCTTTTGCACAGCAGTGAATGATCCCGGTTGATATTTTGGTTTCAACCAACTCACTCATTATTTGATTCAGATCGAACTATTTCTAATTATTTCAATCAAACGAATGGAAAACATGTAAGATTACATAAATGCACAGTATCCCACCATTTCTAAGTCTTTTGTGAGTTTGTTTTTTCATCATATTTCTCTTGGACATGGAAATGTAGTTAAATGTAGAGAAAACACAGACGTTTATAATTTGGAACGTTATTTTAAACCTGGAACTTTTGACACACACTCCATACGTTTTTTAATTATTTTATGGAAACCAAGGTAGTTGACCATTTTAACCCAAGAATGTGACCCTAAGAAAACAAAGCTTCTCTCCCAAAAGGGGTCCAGTTAGTGTTGACCACCCTGGATTTGAATAGGGGGATGTGGAAGTGTCCCAAGGCCTCGAGGGAGAAGCAGAATCATTAGAATATGAATGGCTGTCCATCACTGAGCCCAGTTCCCTGGTCCTTCAAGGATACAGCATTTAACAGACTGAAAGGCAGGATTAGCTGCTGGATTCAACCCTCCCAAGACCAAGGACAGGGAGAGTTTATACGGATTTAAGTATTTCATTCTATGATTGAGTGAGTGCTCAGGCGTGATAATGAACTTTAATTCACGTGATGTTCATAAATGATACCGATCACAATACGGATGGAAAACAATGGTGCAAAATGATGACATAATTGAAGTAGTTGTGTTGTTGTTTGTTACTCACCGTCCTCGCTGGTGTGTGTTTCTGTCCCTCCCTCATTTTCCACTTCCTCCAGGGCTCCATGCTCACTGTAGGGGCTTTCACTGTGGGGGGGACAACATGCAAAGTGTCAGAGTCACAGCCAAGGCGATGCAGGGATTAAGGGAAAGTTGCAAAACAGACACAGATCCTGAAGGTTGTTGGAAGACACCATATCTAATTAACTTGTATCTCATTTCAGTGAAGATGACAGGGTAAGACAATTATTAAGACCAACAGGAAGAGGCAAAGAACCTCTGTCTGTGGTTGGGCCTCTTTTTTCGAAATGGTGATCTTCTGGCATCGTGCTGTGAGAGCTGGCTGGTAATGCCACAAACAGATTAGCTCAGCGTCTCCTCCCATGCTAACATGTCACCAGTCACCTCCTCTTCTACAAGAAAGGGAGGCAGCCAAGACAACAAATCTCCCCAGGGCATCATGTGTGTTGCGGGGGGAACATGGAGGTGCTTTAGACGGGTGATTAGCTCTAGCTAAATCAGTCAGCCTGTGGTAACATGGGGCATAACAACTGGGGGGGGAAATTGATACAGAAATAAGTGAAAAGCACTGCCAGTGCTTACAGATTTAGCGTTGGGAAAGTGACTCAGGTTTGACTCAGCTCTGTTTGACCCCAGCATGTGCTGCAATTCCAAAAGTCATAATTTCCCAGCCAGATCGTTTTAGCCCGTCTTACCGACAAAATAGTCCATGACCTAAAGTTAGCACTGAAACATGCTTGACCATGTCATGTTCCTTAACCACAGGCACATAATTGGTGAGTGTAATTACTCAAATTAGCTCCGCTGACATACTACTGACACAGCTGCTGCGTTGTAAGCCGATGCATACCTGCTTGATGTGTGAGCACCTAATGAAGGAGGTTTGGCTGCGTGCCTTTGTTCCATTCACGGAAAGACATTTTTATAAGAAAATCACCAACCTCTGTCTGACTCTACATGTTGTTTAGGAAATCTATGCAGCTGCAGGAACTGATCTCATCAGAATGCTTTCCACATTCTCTTTTAATCCTGGATAACCTACAACTTGACGTTCATACAGCGGTGACAACAGGCCCTAGTAGCAACAGTGTATGCTTTGTAGCTCAGACATCAAAAGTTGATTTGAACCATGGCTCCATAATACTGACTAGCTAGCTTTTTGCACATTTCTAAAACATTATAAAGCAACCAACACCATATCTATGGACCCTAGCCACATTTCAGCTTGCTGGTTATCCTTAACTTATGCCACAGAAAGCTAAGAAAGCTAAATTCAACACCCTTTGTCATTTTACATAAATTAGTATCATAGATCACACAGGGCTGCCAACATTTGAGTTCAGCTTGGAGTGAGATTTTTTTTTTGGTGAACCGAAAAAACAAAACGTTCATGTGTGCAGTGTTACAAATGTATTGGACATGTACAAACTAGGGTTTCCCATTAATGTACAGGGCGCTACAGTGGAATACGCACATACACAGTGTACCCGCGTCTCTTAAAATGAAGGCCCGATAATCAACTCACAGCATATAAAATGCCATATAGGTGTAAGCAGAGGTAAAGTGCTATTTTATAAATGGGGGGGGGCGAGGGTGCTCTGGGAAGATTTTTTTTTTTTAAATATTGAAGTTAAATGCATCAACCTAGTGCACTTTGAGAGCAAAATGAATATATGGATACATCTCTCAACACCCATATGAAACAGAACTGTGAACAGATTTTCTTTATGAATAGCCTATTTTACAAATCACTCACCTTTTAAACTGTATTCTTGTTTTACTGTCATATTGTATTTCATGACTGTTTTTCATTTGTTCTCAGAAATGGTGACCAAAACGTTTGAGACCCACTGAGATAAGTAGACTAAAGTGAACTATCTAAACAGAGTCCCTTACCTCACTGAGCTGTAGTTATCTCTCAGTCTGACAGGAGAGAGCTCTCCCTCTCCTTGTTTTAGAAACAGCTTCTAACATCCGTTAGCACAGCTAGCTAACCAGATGCTAACAACAACAATGCAAATAGTGAGTTTGGTAGAAATATACTGTATAATAGTAAAGTTATTCAAGATAATGCCATATTTATTGAAGATTTTACATTATAAATATTCCCCAAAATTATTCAAAAGCATATTCTTCCAAACTCCTTGCTGTAGTATGACACACAGGAGACTATTGATGTTTGTGGTGAGTTTGGTAGTAATAAGCTGTGTAATAGTGATTGAATATTATTATATTCTCTTTTTTCGGAGTTGCACTTTGCAGATCTGCAAAGTGCAACTCCGAAAAAAGAGAATATCCCTGAGCACTCGTTTCTACTCCGGCTGCGGATAGAGACCAATGTAATGTGTCCAGCTCGGAGGACGGCGCGTATTGGCTTTTTTGGGGGGGCTCCAGAGGCGGCTCCAGAGGTGGCTCCAGAGGCGGCTCCAGGTGTGGCTCTTTCTACTCCGGCTGCGGATAGAGACCAATGTAATGTGTCCAGCTCGGAGGACGGCGCGTATTGGCTTTTTTGGATCAAAATGTGATTGTAGTTCGTTGTCAACCTTACCACGGTACTTAGGAAACGTCATTTGTGTCTGAATAACGTTTTCATGAGTTATTGATCCGTGAAATCAGAATCTCCCAATATCGTTCCAACTTTACTGAACTAAGCCAGAAGACCGTCTCATTTCGTAGACCGCTCGGTTTGCTGTTCCTTCACTTTATTTTTATATACATTTATTTTGGACGAAAACTTAGCGTGAGGAAAGGCATGTGTGGCGTGAGTGCGTGAGACATGGGTTAATTGCGTGACTCTCAAGCTCAATGCGTGAGTGTTGGTAGCCCTGGATCACATTAGCTGGTAAAGTAATTTGGAAAGCTAACTTACTAGTGGTTCCACTCAGATGCTACTTTGCTAGTGATAACATTAGCGAGCAAGCAAGCTAAGGTTAGCCAGCTAGCTGCAACTTAGCTATACCGCATTAGCTATACCGCACCTGGCATTTGCTGCCTTGTTAGGATAAAGTAAGGTAGAAAACTGTTAGCAAGCCAATTCACCAGCCAGACCAGCACATGGTGATGAATTAGCTTTCGTCTCCAACTTAATACAGTATTATGCTAAGTTAGCTACACACTGTTTAAACTTCTCATCTTTAGAATATCCGTAGCAAAACCGTCACAGGCCTACATAGAAGTAAGTCCACAGGCTCTTATAGGCAACGGAGAAAGTTGGGGAGGGTCTCAGTTGAAATATTAAAGTCAAGTCTGTCAAAAACAAATGTGGAACACAAAGCAATTAAAACATGTTTAACGTTTCCTAGAGTGCCTTTAATCAATAGCAACAGCACCTAAATGCATCATTGCTCACCAATAGTCTCCTCCAGCCATACACTTCTCATAGATGGGCCCCTCCAGTTCTTTGGCATCAGGAAAGATGTTCTCATTGTGGATGATGATGGTCTTGACAATCTCGTTGACGTGGGCCTGGCAGGAGACCTGGTCCTGGGTTTCTGGTGTGGGCATAAGCGTGGGGCCGAAACATATTGCCAGGTTGTACGGGTCCATCATGTTCTCATCACTGTACTGGGACACGCTGAAGAGGGGAGGGTAGGAAAGGATAGATGGGGACAAGGAGACCAAGTTAAGGCAGATTGAGAGGAAACAGCACTGGGGAAAGTATTTCAGATAGAATCATGACCGACAGCTGTGAATGCTTTTTAAAATGACATTTCATAAAGAGGAAGCACTTCTAAAGTAAAGGATGGTTTTACTGATAAGTATCCATAAACCTACTGGTTGAGGAAGGCGAAGAGGTAGCGCATGACGATGAGGACTGATCTGGGAATGGTCAGGAGGATCTTACGGATGAACAGCGCCCTCTCGTACAGGCTCTCTATTCCTATAGAAGCAACAAAAGAGAAGTCAGTAATGTCAGTACAGTTATATAAGTAGAAATATTAGCAAATTAACAAAGCCCTCTTTTTCCATCCATTTGCCTCAGCTACAATTCAAATGCACCACATCATCTACTTGAAGATGTTTATTTTTACCATGCAATATATGAGCATATAAACAAAACTGAATATTGAAGCTGAGCCTTTTACTTATCAGAATAAATGTATGTCTCTGGATGACCAACAAGGACTTATAATTGAAGTGCAATGTAAAATGTGTATGTGTGCGTGTGTGTGTAGAGGCCACAGGAAATGTATCAACTCTCTGATGACCTTGATCTCAGCCTGTGTTTCACTGCTGACACCAAAAGGAAGAGGAAGAGGAAAGTCAGCTTTTCTGTTTGCACCTGACGACAGGGAGGCCCAGTTTTTATTCCTGCTCTAGAGGAATACAGTATCTCTTTTAAAATCATTTCGTCAAGTTCTCTGTTATTCACTAACCCTACCAACAAAGAAGTGACTTTTTCTAAAACATAATTATTGTACTAGGAACACAATTGTAACTTTAAAAACAAAAACAAAGCATTTTCAATCCTTTCCCTTTATCAACAGCATTGACTGTGAACCTTTATGTCTTTCATTACCATCTCATTTGTTCCGCTGTGGCGCTTGAAGCAGCCTATTTCATTTGGCTGGGCTGGGGCTCTGCTGGGTGCTAAAAATAGCGCTGTCACCCTCCAGCCACTTTGTGCCATCTGGGATTTGAGCTTCTGGGCTACTTGTGATGTATTTCATTTTTAATGAATAGCTAACTAGGATTCTGCAAGGCTCCTGAGCACTTCAGAAGATCTTATTCAGAGACCTACTCCAGTGTACACTTATACATCAACCTGGAAACACACACGCGAGAACACCCACGTGAAACATCCCTGCTGCTAATTCCCAAAGGAAAAATATTAGTAGCTGCAGTAAGCTGCTGTGTTGGGAGAAAAAACAGTCAACTGAGAGCAGTTAAAAGGAAAAACGTTCTTGTAGCTGGTCGGAGCTTCTTCGCATGGAATAAGCAGATCATTTTTAATATGAAGCTTGCCGGGCGTTCTGCCCACACTGCAATCACTGGCATGTTGAGCTGGGGAATGTAAACAGGGAATCCCCATCATTCACGCTGTGTAAAAATACACCCAGGAAACACTTTGCACACTTGCCAGTACACTAAAGCCTGCATGAAGAAAAAAGCACACACTCACATGGTCTACACAAAGCTGCACCAGGCATTGCAGCACACGCTTTGCCCATGTGACTCGATGCATGTTCAATTGTTCTTTAACATAGCCTAAAGCCCCCCCTAATGTCTTAAAATATGAGAAAAGGCCACACAAAGAGCTGACTTGTCTTTGAACTGACTCACAGCAGAATGACTGGGACTATTCTTCTGTTGACCTCAGTATACAGTAGATTAAGCTCTGGATTCAAACGCCGCTCAGTGCTGCAGACATTTAACATTCCACTGCGATCTGGAAGCATGGCCAGCTTTATGCCACTTACGATTGATAATTTCCTTCTCAGTACTCGACCAAATATCATAGAGTTGTAATAAAACAAAGTGCCAAGGAGAAGGAGAAGTCAGAGCCATTCTGCTGACAAAATACTGCAGTCAGTGGGAATTATGCAAATTTGAAAGACAGATTCCATCTAAGTGAGATTAATTAACCACAGTATAATAACAGTTGTTATGATAAGATCATTACAAAGAGATGCACTCAGAAAATAAACGACATGTCTGATACAAAGCAAAAGTGTTGTTTCTTACTGATGCAAGACAGCAGATCATTGAACCTCTCTTTGGGGAAAAGAGGGTTCTCCAGACCACGGAAGTAAAGTTTGAGAACGCCGGCCACCGAGTTGATGTCATGATTGTTATCATCGTCCGCCAGGGGGTCATTTCCTAAGACATAGACAAATGATATTCTAAATGATTGAGAATGCACAGGACTGAGGTGTGAAATATGTCTAAATTACAATTAGCCCACTGGCTTAATATGTTCCATAGATTGTGTAATGATTTGTTATAACGTACCTCTTTCAAACGAGTTCTTGATGTCATTGACTTCGAGATGGGATCCAGATACGCGAAATATTCCTTGATGTTGAAGGCCTGAAAGGAAATAAACAAGGGCAGACGGTAAGGAAGACAAGAGTGTCCACGACAGATACTCAATGCGATCATAAGTCTACTTACAGAAAGAAAGAGACCCTCACTCAGCAAATAAAGCTTACTTTAGTTGGACCTAAAAAGCACATCCTCCCTGTTAAGCCCCCTCACTTTTCTAATTAAAGATAATTAATGAGTCAGGGAGGCTGCAATCAAGCTTTAGTCAAGTGTCTTCCAGCTGGGATTAGGACTTAATAAGGGGAAGGGTCAAGGGTGAGGAGGAAGCATGATTAGTCGGCCGTTTTGTCACTTTTAAATTGGTACGTCATTGCTTGTTCCCTATATAAGATGCAGTGCCTGTAAACCATGAAATCTCACTTCTGTCACATATTTAATGCTAAAAGAGTCTACATTTTTCTTGTGTATCTTTTTTTCAATTTGGCTTGAAAATAAAATAGTTTTGCATCACTTGTGCCAGGCTCAGCTGTCTGTCTGTTTGTCTCATGGTAGGTTTGAGAAACTGGGTGTAAAAAGGCAGCGCCGCTGTAAACAGGATGGAATCTGCATTTTCCCATGACTGAACACAGTGGAGCCCCAACATGAAAAACTATGTACACACCCAAACAATTAATGGCTGGGATTCACTTGAAGTCCCCTTTAACCAAAGTCAGACAGATTTGGAGATGAAGACGCTGGTTTATGAGAAGAATCCATAAATACTGTCATCAAGTTATGGTTGCATATCTGTCGTGACAAACGTGTTAATACACAACATCCAACTCACCATACAAATTTATGCAGCGAATACAGCTTTCAACCACGCGGGGGATAGCTTGTCCAGAGTCCTATGTAGGCAAAGTGAACAAAAACACCTAAATGTCAGATCATGTATAATGTGCTGTTTGTATAGCATGTACAACAGCTAGAGCCCGACAGATACAACCGGCGTTTCAGATGTTATCGAGATCAATCATTGAGAAAATATAAATAAATCAAATACAATCAGATAGATTTATCAATGTAAATATAAAAAAAGAGTTCTACATGTACTTCTTTTAAATAAACATGAAAAGTAAATATAAGATAATGCTTAACGTTAATCGGTAAATATCCAGATAACATCAATTTGCTGAAATATCTGTCGGGCTCGGAAAGAAACTGGTTAATGTGAATTTAAAAACATGCACACCCAGAGTAAGTGAAGGCGGTATTTATATAAAAAGGGAGGGTCACCATTTTGTGATCTTACTGAGACAGATTGAGTTGACATTTCCAGCTATTTGTTCATGCCCAGTCTCCCATAATAACTCACTGAGCATAAAAAGATCAGAATATATAAAAAAAAAACACTTATAATCCGCAGCAAACTTGTTTTCAACTGGCCTCTAGTGTTGCTAAATATACTATGTGTTTTGTTATTCTAGCAATCAAGTGCACACTGTGTTTAAATTGAGGAGAGCTTATCTAAAGAGCCACACACTCAGTATGGAGCTCGGGGCAGGAGTGGTGAGATGAGAAGTGCAGCGTGGTCCGCTTCAGGGAAAACACTCTCCTCTCGCTGCTCAGACGCTGACTGTTCTGCTGTGGTGCCAGCTGATCCCACGGCTCCGTGCTGGACAGGGACTCAGTACATGCTTTTAATGATACAGTGGATCTGTTTACAGTCCTCAGGGGCAAACGCACGGCCCGACACAGCGACCATGCCAAAATCAAAACTATCTATTGTCAGAGTGGGCAGAGAGTCTGGTGCAGCAGGATTATGTAATATTATCTCTTTGGGTATGCGAAACTGGGGATGACTGCTTTATATCACATCGATTTCATATCGATTTTGCAATGGGATGTGGTTCATGCTGGGAAACACAATTTAAACTAAAATCAGCAAAATCAGTTTAGAGGAAAAGGTCAAAATCAAACATGTATCTATTTCCCACTTGCTTCAAGAGCCAATTACTGCCTTCTCTCCATTATAATAAAACTAAAACACATTTGAAAAACTCAAAAGTAATGACTCTTTTTAGAAATCATGCCCCCGTTACTCAAGGTTATCCACAGACCTTGTTGTGAGCAGTTTTAACTGATATCACAAACAATCTAGATCTAAAAAACACTACAAGTAAGAGGAAATTATACATTTTTGATTGTGGTGTCCCGTTAAGGATAAAAGCTTCAATTCAGTCTGTCTCAGTCTTCTCACAGATGGCAGGTTATGTATACAAGATATAGACAAACACAGTAAGATATACAAATGGTGTTAGAGCAGGACAGATGAAGAAAATGAGCGCAGGAAAGCAGCATGGGCTCCCCAAGGTGCTTCAAGGTACCTGATGTCGAGCGTGTGAGTTCCTTCGTCCGCGGCTATAGAGAATTGTCGCAGAGAAACAGAAAGAGAGAGAAAAGCAAGACCCAGATTAGGACCACAGCAGCTGCCCACCAAAGCTTTTGCTAAGAGCGCACCCTCATTCCCCTCTGTGCATCACACCCATAAGGAAACAATGAGAAGTGGACAGGCAGGACCGGACGCGGCCACCTATGAGAGGCAGAGAAGAGGCCCGAGGAGGGAGGCAGGGCACTTTATCAGTCTGCCATCTGCTCCCTGACTGCCAGTCACCCTGCTGTTCCCACTGGCCTCTGCTCTGCCTCTGGAGGAATTCATATCTCTGGCAGAGCAGCGCAGTGATGCCAGGTCAGCAGCGAGTCAGGGGAGCTGACTGAGACAAACATTTATCCCTCAGACGGCCATTCCTCTCCTCCTGCAGCCCTCCAAATCTATCAGAGCCAACCTCACAGGTCTGACACCAGAGCTCACTGACCCTGCCATGAGGAAGGTTTCCAGAATCTAGAATTATTTGTTTTTGTTGGTAAAAGATTAATGTAAGCTCAAATGCTTTTGGGGAACCCACCAAAATGGCCAGTGAGCCAGAGCAAGACAGAAAATAGATAGGAGGAGGAGGAACAACGTCGGGCAGGCAGGTTGGTAATCAGTACCTTGATAAATGACTCCAAATTGCCATTAAATAACCTAACATTAAAAACAGAGCGGGGTCTAGCCCGCCGGGTGCCGGTGTGGGTTCTGAACTGCCCATTGGGATGTCTAGAATACAAAGAGTGTGTTAGAAAAAGTAAACAATGCAGTTTTTTGTAGTGTGGTTCATCTATCCTTCAATATCCAAAAACTGAAGTTGAGGCTTCAGACGTGAGGCAGGTGAAAAAGGTTATTTTCAGACTCCAGTGAAAGCCATGAATTGGCTTATTCTTTATAATCCTGTCACAGGCCAGTGAAATATCCAACCTGCTGGGAGCATCGTATGTGTCAGCATCCTCCTCATGGCAGGCCCTGCAGGGGATTTCCTCTGTGTGTGTGTGTGTGTGTGTGTGTGTGTGTGTGTGTGTGTGTGTGTGTGTGTGTGTGTGTGTGTGTGTGTGTGTGTGTGTGTGTGTGTCTTGGTTTGTGATTTCATTCTATTTGGCTTCTTGTGACCAGTCTGACCAAGATTCAAAAGTATGGGACTTTGGTCGCTTCTGCTGCTCAATCATAATGAATTATTCAGCTAGAAAAGCCTCAAGGTATTTCAAATATATTATCATGCAAACAAAAGATAAAAACTTTGCCTTATGAATACAACAGTAGTATAAAGCATACCACCGGATCACTTTTTACTCACATTTGTTTAGAACTAGTGGTGATTAACCCCACCCAAGAACATGGCTGCCTTTGTCAATTTGCCAAACATGTTCTCGATTAATTTTTCTATCTATAAAATGTTAGAAAATCATGAAAAATGTCTATCACAGAGCTCAAGGTGGCGTCTCTGAATGCTGTGTTTTATATGAAGGAACAAAGAGTTCCAACTGATGGATTTGACCTCGTTATTCTCTAAAGGCAAAATACAACCTCAATTTTGATTGAAAAAAAAGAAGCTACATAACTTAGTCATTAACACGTGAGTGACCCATAGAAAATAGCAAAGCAACCTAATTACAATAATAGAGTATATCCAATAAGTTATCTCCACTTTTGAACATAAATGATGGGTTTTCAAAGATGTGCTTTTTTTTTTTGGAACCAACTCTTTCTTAGATCAATGCAAATTATTTCCCTTATTTATTAGGCTAAACATTGTCTACTTTGTCACTTCCCACTCTTTTTACAGGTAGGGAAAGGAAAGTAAGGTCACCCTTTTACACATCAACAGGTTGGACTTTAAAACATTGAGGTCGGCACAGCTGCTCACTGCTCTCCAGGTTGTTTTTTCTAACTAGACTCCTCTGCTGTCATGGTCACAGAGGACTTCCCATGAGAATGTCCTGAGGCAACCTGTGCGCACCATGATGTGCTGCAACACGGCACAAATATCTCTGTCACTGCTGAAAGAAAAAGTGCACTGGATGTGTGTTTTAAATACGCTGGTGTCCTGAAGCGTGTGTGTACTTTACCTTGTGGTCATGTAGTCGGCTCTGTGGCCTGCGGGTGAAGAGAGAGAAAAGAGAAGAGATGTGAGAGGAAGTTAGATGTGTGGACATGCCAGGACCTGTCTCTGAGGTCCCTGCGGTGCACTCTGCATACGGCCAGTGAAGCATTTGACGCCTGCCATCTGTCCGCAACTGCTGGCCTCTTGAATGGCACAAACAAAACGAATACACACACCTACACACACACAAATACAACAGCTCATAGCTCGAGACACATTAGCTTCATTACAGTAAAAACATCCAGCAGGCACACAGTTTACAATCTACAAGTGTGGACTAGCAAAGATTAAGCAAAAAAATATATAGCTTCCAAGTGGTTTTGAAGAACAGAAGAGGTTTCGTTTGCGCGGCCATCTGTTCCTGTGAACAGGATCTGACCTGTCTGTGAGTCTGAGTGACTCATACTGTACTACAGCTCATTAACAACAATATGATTAAGGAGTTTGTGAGAGAAGTAGGAGGCTTTTCTCCCCTTGTTAGCACAGCTTCATCACTCATTAGGTGGACAGTTTGACTGAGACCACCAGCACTGCAGGGTAGAACAATGACTTGACTGACTCTCTGAGTGGCAGATTAGCTGAAGCCCCGAGGAAATTCCACCAATGTAGACCGAGGAGAGACCGTTGGTAATGACTGCCGCCCCTCTAATGCACGATAGTCCATTAAGTTAGGAGCTAATCAATCACTAAGACGGATAATACAACTTTACAATCCCCCTCAGCTCTCGCTTGCCGGGCTCAAACACAGATTGCAATCCAGGAGTTTAGAGTAGTGAGAAAAGCGGGCAAACAATGGAACATTTGCCAAATTAAAAGGCCAAAATTGCTTGACAAAGACTGCAGAAAATAAATAAAGACAACATTTAATAAAGAATTATTATTGATTGTGGCTATTTGGATATTGAAAAGGACTTCTACAGCATACACCCATTATATTGTATAAACCAACAGCTGGGAGATAACAAGGCGAAAGTCTGTCGCTGAATGTCGGGCACTCGGGGAGCGCCTTTCGTCTTAGTTTTTGCGGTGTGTTCCGCTTTTTAACCGATTCTTGTATGTTGAATTTATTAGGGTCCATGTCGTTTAAAGAAACCAATCTGATTGCTGTTTAGCTAAAGCATGACTTAAGTCAAGAGTCAGAGATAAATTGTCCATCTTCATGTAATCTTTTCCTTCCGATAGCTGGATATTTTCACAAAAACATTGCCATCAGGAATGACGGGCGGGTGTAAAAATGGTTGGCAAACGAAGCTCCATTTAATGTTTGAATCATAACAACAACTTGTTGATGCAGAGCCCTATGTTTTCCTATTACACTCTGTTGAGGGACGACTACTGTTGCCATCTGGGATGAAGACAGTTTGAGCAGAATGTTTGTGTTCCCTTTCGTCTTTGTGATGTGTTCAAACTCAGCTTATAAGCAAAAGTTCCATGATGTGTGCTTGTTATGTCTGGGCCTTAAGAGAAGTGTATATCAGTAAAGAGTTTTGACTGTACCTTCACCAAGTGTCCTCTTCAGCAGGTCATGTTTGGCCTGCAGTTTGGAGATGAGATTACTGCCCTCCAGAAACTCCCGGAATTTCTGTGGAGAATTGAGAGTAATTACACAGCGGGCCCAGAGTGCTCCTCAGACAGCAATCTATGAAAAGAAAAGCTAAGGGCAAAGGACATGCTGTCCATCTTCAGACGGGAACAAGATAGCACTTAGACTTCCTAGATTAACATATTTTTTACCCCTTTGCCAGCTAATCAAAGATAATAAGGGGCTTGGTGCATGAGCAAAGGACTTTTAAGGACAACGTGGAAAGATTAAGCTTTTTAAAGTAGCAGATAATAACTTTAGTTCATATTCTCTGATTCATTTTACAGACATTTGTAGCAGATATTAAACAGACCACAATAATCTGGCATTTTCACAAATCTAAGTAAAGAAAGCTTACTAATACTTCAAAGAGAGTCTATAAGAGGGATGTATTTCTATTTTCATACAGAAATGAAAAGACACCTTTAACGTCCTTTGTATTTGTTTATTCGTATCCATCATCTTCTTCTCTTCTTCTTCCACTCACCATGAAGTAGAACTGCTCCGTCTCCTGCTGGTTGGCCCTCCTCTTGGCGATGCTGGGCTTACTGAGGTACGTCTCAGAAACGGTGGATTTGACCGACTCCGTGGACCGGCTGTGGTGGAAACACTCGGACACGTCGTAGTCTTCGATAGTCGTCATGTCCTGGATGGTGGTCAGGGTGGCCTCAGATGTCTTTTTGATCTGGAAACACACAAAGGATAAGGGGGAAAGATGAAGAAAAGTTGAAAAATTGCAAAAACACAGCCAGCTAAAAAGCTAGATGTGATCTCTTCACTATCACCATGTTACATCACAGCATATCTAGCGGTTTAAATCATCACACTCCATAAAAACCTCTCTCTCTATCCCATGACACTCTAAAAAAAATGCAGGTGTTTTCTGACAAAATGCCTAAAGTTCCCCAAAAATCCATCAGCCCCTGAACATGACTCCCGGCCAAAGCAATCAGTTTGCTTGCACTCAGAGAGGGAGAGAGTATGCTAGAGACGAGACATTCAGTAACAGGCTTTTAAGATACATTTCCTAAACCGCCTCTAACCTGTCTGAAAAAGTGATTCTGCCGCAGCCCATTAACGTCAGGACTTTGCGGAGTGATCCCCCCTTCTTACTGCCAAGGATGTTTGGCCACCACTACTGGCTGTGTCCAGTAAATGAGGATGTAAGATGAGGGATGATGTAAAAAAAAAATGGGAGGGCAAATAAGGATGTGACAGCTTTTTAAAGTTGAAGAGACCGAAAGAGATGCAAATTAATTGTGCAGACTATTAATAAAGAGCTTGCAGTACAAAGACGTGATGATGACATTTAGACTTCAACAATCATGTCTCAATATTTACAGAGCAAAAGTCCTGGTGTTGTTGTCAGTAATATTTTTGAAAGAAAAGTGCCACTTCATAGCCATGCTAGCAGCTCTGTGAAGCTTCACTTAACATAGCACATAGCTTGACATTGAGATAATAGCGAACATTAGCTTGCTAACAAATCCGCAGTGACAGAGAAATGGCAACATGTTGATGTTTAGCAGGTATAATAGTTTAAATCCTTATGTTACCTTGCAAATGTTAATTAGCGCTCAAATATGAAAATTGAGGCTGATGGAATGTCCTCAGTTTTGCAGACAGTTAGTCAAAACCCCTTTAGTCTGTAAGAACTGACATGGCAATCCATCCAATAATTGGGATATTTTAGTCAGGGTGGATTAACTGACCCATATCTCCCTCAAGCCAAAGATTACATTTATGCAACAAAATCCATCCCAAATCCATCCCTCAATTAAATGACTATTGTCAACTTAAAAATGTCCAATTCCTAATTTAAATATTCCATGTGTAATGACACACATTTCCTTTAATAATTGTAATTGCACATCTGATTTATGACATTTTGAAAGACATTTAAATAAAAAATGTCTTAAAAAAAAGGGGTACGCCGAGGGCCGACACAAGGACCATTCTGCCTTTTCAATCAATAAAATAATATAAACATAGGGCTATATAGGTTAAGGAGAAGTGCAAAATGTGGAGCATTGAAAAAGGAGGAGAGACAAAAAAAGATCAAATAAGACAAGGACGAAGGGTCTAGAGACTGTCAAGCCTGAGAGCATGAATCAGTGATGTGGAAAAGCTGCAGAAGGAAAGAGGCCCTGCTGATGCTGAAACATCCTCAACCAGCTCTGAGCTCAAAACATTTCTTTCCCTTCAACAGAGACACTCTGGGGTCATGAGAGCTGTGAGCATCGCAACTCAACTGTGTGTGCATCACAGGTCAGCGTCGCCGACAGTGAGTCGCTGCTGGAAGCCCTCCTAATTACGCCTAATGGTCAGGAGGCCCCCTATTCAAAGGTAGTGACCCTGTGTCTGGGTTATTAAGTGAGTCTGACCTCAGTGCTAATGAAAGAACAGACTGGATTCCTCATGGTGCTGTTACACACACCGAGACAACGGAAGATTAGGTTGTTTTTCTTTTAAACAGTTTGACCTGTGACTCATTTTGCCTTCAAAAAGGAAGAAAAAAACACCTGAAAAGCAAGGTGGACTCTCTTTCAAGTGTAACACTGATAGATTACAGCGCCGACATACATGCTGGGGAACACAATGTGGATGTAGTTAAAAGTGTCATCCATCCCGTCTTGAAGCAAAAACACACGGCAGGTTTAAACACGACTAATGACAGCGTAGTGAAGGAAATGGGGGATTCTGCTGTCGTAAAACTTTGCTATAACAGAATTCTGTCTTGTGAGTGAAATGAAAAACCTGCTGCCTTTAAAAGACAGAGAAAGCATTCAGAAATCTACACTGCGGTTTTTTTAACCCACGGCAGGTGCCTAAAATAAGTAACTTATATGACATGCATGCAGTCATGAGTTACATGCTCGGAGTGTGTCGGGTCCCCTTCTCCCTACAGCTACATCCCGGGTGGCCCCGTGGAGGCGAGAGGCCCAGCTGTCAGCAGAAAGACAGGACCCAAGCATGCGAGAGAATGGCTCCCAGTGAAAAAGCTGTTGAGTTTATCCATTATTCAGCAGACGAATAGTTACCAGTGTTCACTGCGGGGCTCGATTACAACAGGGCTTTTAAAGAGACTCGCTGGGTATGCCTATTTGTCCCTGTAGCCGCACAACACACCTGGTGAAAAGTCCCCGGGATCAAATTAGGTTTGTTTATTTTCAATAAGGAACCATGACTCATGTGTTCCCTGCGTCGCTGCAAAGACGGCGCAGTAATACGGTGAGCTAAATATAATCCCAGACTTGTTTACAGTCGTCCTTCTCTGTACTGAAAACTACTTCTGTACTGTCAAAATCCAAAATAATTCCTTCAAAATCAGCAGCTCAAAAGGCAGACTGCTCTTCATAGTTGTTAACAGAATATGTAGTTAGTGTGTAATCTGCTGATCGTCCCTCTATTAACACAGAAACACAAACACACAGGCTCTGATGTGCCTTCCTGAGATTTATCTGAGGAAAACAAACATTCACCGCGAAGGAGATGGTATTAGATTGTCATAGTTTAGTGTGAAATGTCTTGAGATTACAAAAGAAATCTGAAAAGGAGATGAACCACGCTGACTGGCTGACGAGCTGAAATGAGCACCGTCTTCAGAGAGCAGACTTTTTTAATGAAAGAAATTCAATTGTAATTTCTGCAGTGCGGCACCCAGCAGGGCTATGTTAACCCCAACCCTTTAGTAAGAGTGAGAGTTTTCTCTCCAAGCCGCACCCCCTTCCGTCACAGTGCACAGTCAATTATTCAGCAATGTTTTCCTTCACTTTTTCACGGGAGTAAAAGAGGTTTTAGAAAACAGCTTCACTTCTATTAAGAAATGCCCTGCAGCCTTTCCTGGCCGGATAACGACTTTTTTTCATTCTCTTTATTTGACAGTTGTGCTTCCAGGTAGGTTGTCAGAGAGCCTTGAAAGTTCATTTTTTTCAAGGGTGCATCTGGCCCGCTGTGCACAGGAAGAGAGGCCATCTGCTGATGCTAACACAAGGCAATAGTGCCCTCCAATTCTGACCCACCATGACATCCGCTACAGCGAGGCAGCCGACAAGGACATGAAGTAACCGGGGCGTGTCTTCGCACCCTCACACACAGAAACTCACAGGGTGCAGAGATACTTTACATACTGCATCAGAGAGCAGGAGCAGGAGCCTGAGCAGCCTCGATACACAGCATCAAAACAACAATCCAAAGGAAGCTTAAAGAGGCTGCCACTAGGGTTATTTTCATTGGTTAATCATTAAGGGTAAAGAAAAGTTCACATATGTGATAGGTGTAGGGGAAAATAATAATACCTCCTCATTTGTTGAGAAATGGCAAAAGATATCAGTTGTATTTTTATTTTATGTCGAATGTATTTGGGAAATGTTGAAGTTTCTGAGAAAAAGGAAGATAGCTGGACTAAGCTGTCTTTCATCATGGTAGACTAGGATAGGTCCTGAACTTAACACACCTATGTAGGTCAATAATCAATTTCGAAACTAATACATTGAGAGTGAAAACAAAAAAGAGTGATCACTTTTGCTTGATTATCAAAATGGTGACAATTTTCAGTTTCAGTTTAAGTCTCAGTCTATTGACCAATCTTCTATTGACTTTCTTCAGCTTTAATCCATTGCACATTCAAATGAAAAATCCCAAAATGTTTTTTAAAAAAAAGGCAGGATAAATGAAAGAAACATGCACCCATGGAGGGGACAACAACAGAGAGGGTAATACGGATAGCTTTTATTTAAAAAGCGAACATAATTGGTGTAAATGTACTCCGTCAAACTGTTGCAGTCACAGTATTTATTTTCCCATTTCTTGTATAAACAGAAATGTTGCGTTCTTCAAGCATCCTGCACACAGGTTCAAATGAAACTGCCTGACTAGAGATGCACCTTCAATGTCAAAACAGAGCAGCGCAAGACAGGTTTGTGCAAATAAAAGCGAGACAGTGAAATCTACCAGTGGGAGCAGAAAGGAGGCTTCACAGAGAGGTTTGATGGCTACCTGCAGGGCATGAGAGACAGGAAAAACACTGTGTGTGTCTGTGTATACCCAAAAAACATTAAGATTCTTCAGAGATCATCAGCAACTATTTTCTCTGTCTCACCTTGGACCACTTCTGGCTAAAGTTAACTTTGGTAGCTTTAAAGCTCTGCAGCTGTAAGCTTCTTAAAACCAACAAACGGCAAAATGGAGAAACGTACGCATCTCTAGCAGGAAACTACGTCGAGACAGGGGAGAAGAGTTTTGACATGTTGGACAGAAAAACCTCACGGATCAAAATACAAATATATGTGTAATGACTTTATTTATTTGCATTGCTTTACCTCTTCGTTCTCAATATTCAGAGTTGCCAAGCGGGACTGAAGCTGCTGGAACCTCAGGATGAGCTCTCCGTTCACCGGTGGCTGCACTGAGATCTGACACACCTGGGGAAAAAAGGAAACACATTGTCAGGAATTAGGATTTCAAGTGACAACCCTCTGAAATAAAAGGCAAGCGACGTGTCCTCTGTTTGAAACGAGATGCAGGAAATCAAATTCTTCTTCAATTGCAAAGCAAACCACAGTGACGTCTCACAACTGAATGCAGACAACAACAGAGTGTAAACAGACATGATATCAGTTTCCGCAGTGCCAGCCAAACAGTAAAACTCCAAACACATGTTGAGCTTCATGACTGCAGGGGGAGAATTAACACATGATTTGTCATATTCTGTGCCCCATAAAAACCTGATCCAGCCGCTCAGACGCAGTAAAACGCTGCACTTAAGCCACTGAAATCAGACCTCATTAAGTCTGAGACCTTTTTATAATAAAATCCAAACCATGTTGCTGTGCAGCTCAAAAAGTGGATGATTTGGAAACAAAACTTTTGAAAAAATGTGTATAAATGCAGTCTTTCAGTTCAGTTTTTCATATCAGCTTCTATTCTTGACCAATCTATGTACCTCGTCTCCCATATGAGGCTGGAATTCAAATTTTGCCGGTGGGCAGAAGGCCGTAGGGTACATCTCCATGAACCTTTGTCGGTCACTCCGGGGGTCCAGACTGTCCACGGCGTTCTCTATGATGTCCAGACCCTCGTGCCGGGATGTCTCCAGGTTGTATTCGGCTGACAGGTAGGTCCGCAGGGCCCGGTTCAGACTGGCGTGGTAACCCAAATCACAGCACTGGAGGAGAGGGGAGAACAGGGTCAACGTGATATTACAGGTCTCATAATAAACACACTAATACCATACAAGAGCTGCAGCAACCAACAATTCCTGTTTTCCTCTTAATACATTGTAAGAGAAGTGAAAATCACAACCTCATAAACCTTTCAAACGGCTTGTTTTGTCTTATCCACTGTCCAAAACCCAAAATATATATTAAATATCACATAGGAAAACATTAAGATTTCACAGGAATCCACAACTTGAGTACATTTAGTTTGAAAAACAACATAACTGAATGCGGTCATACAAAACACTTTCTTAGAATTAAGTCTCAGACTGGAAGGCTAAACAGATTACAAATTAAATATACTTTTAAACAAGCCAACAGTCTCTTATAAACAGTCAGCAGTGTTGCCTCTGTCTTACACAACTTTTCCTCAATATTATTAAAGGTTTCCTCCAGGAAAGTATGCTGATATTTAATAACTAAAACCTTGGCCAAGGTCTCTCCTAGGAAGACACACAAGCTTCAGGCAACCACAAAAACACACGCACATTTACACAAAGAAATGTAACATGGCTTGAGTGATAGGCAAATGCAAAACCTCCACAAGAAGGCATGTACACTATATTTTCGACGATAAAAAGTCCACTTCATCAATAAACAAATGTGTGTGAGCGTGCTCCTACAGCTCACGCAGATGGCATCCCACACACAGTAACACACACACACACACACCCCGGTGCGATGTGAAGGCTTTTGAGCAAAGCAGGCAGAGGGGTAATTTCAGCACACAGCATGCGGGCTGAAGAGAGGTTGCATTCCTCTTCTCTCATCTTGGAAATTAAACCCAAAAACCCTGGCTAAAAACCTGGCCTCCACCCATTTCCTTAGAAAGGCCACAGGAAATAGCAAAGTAAGATTATTTCTCTAACAAAATAACAATAATAACACAGGTAAGCTATATACAAATAAGCCATGTATATTGGTACGGTAACAAAAAGGTCAAGATAGCATAAAAGAAAGCATAGGGAGACGTGATTCTTAAGTGAATGGAGTGATGACCCACAGCTGAAGATGACAAAACAAAATGTCAGAAAGATGTGGAAATGTCAGAATATCAGGAAAACAGAGTAGAACTTAATATAATATGTGGGTTTTTCAATAATGACAGGAATAGAAGGAAGTGAGGAAAGAATATTTTTCATCACAAAAGTAATAAGCTGCTTTAATTCAGCCCTGAACTGTAATTTCCATCCCACAGTCTGCTGTCCTGACATCATTGTTATATCAGAACCGCCTGCTTAAGTCATCGGCCTCTCCTCTGATCAAGATTGAAATCTCTTCTAAGAGTCTGTGAAAGAAGAAACCCTGAATAGCAATGGGTCTTCTGTATGAAGAGCATAAAGAAGCATAATAACATCTTCCTTATGTGGCTGCAAGGTGTTCTGTTTATGTGAGTAAGTCCTCAGCAAAATGTTCCCAGCATCAATGGAGACAAAAAAGACGAAGCTGCCTCGAACAGGGCTGACAGAGGCACGTGGTTTTATACTTACATCAATTAAGTCCGACAAGTCATGGATGTAGTATTTGAAGACGGAGGAGTTTGACGCTTCCAGAGTCAGCAGATATTCGTTGCGCGCTTTGATCGACTTCAGCTTGTTCTCGGAGTACTTGGCTTGACGCTGATGAGAGAATTAGAGGAAGAGAATGAGAAACAGACAACAACAAAGCGAAGGAGAGAGGATGGATTTAATGAGTTGAGAATTGCCTTTCTGACAAAGTGCCTGTGCTTTCATGTATTCCTCTAAGAGCTGAGACCGGATTAACGGCAAAACAACAGCTTTATTAAACATTACAGTAGAAATATGTACAACTATGTTATAAATAGCACAAAAAAAGGAACGAGCACGGAAAGAGGCATAAACTAAAAACAGCCCGTGTCCTTCACTTCAACCTCTGCAGGAGCCATCTGTTTTTATCATACACTTCCTCTCTACCAGACAAATACAAGTCTGTTAGTTAGTCACCATCTTCTGACCAATGACCCTGACTCACACTTCCAAATCGTCCATGTTTTTAACACTTCCCGAATGCATTCCAGGAAGAGCCACCCTTAAAAGGCCATTGTAATATTAGTGGCAGAGATGAAATAGAAAGCAGGCCTGTTCTGGGAAAACAAAGCCCGCTCTTTGGTCGCGAAAACGCTCTCAGTCTGTTTTGCTTTTCTCAGATCAGGTCTGAGTAAAAAAAACATGCTGTGTCCCTGATGAGGCAAATGTCCTAATCAGATATTTTAGTTGTGTTTGAACTACTTCAATAAAACAGTGAATGCTGTTACTACTAATGGAGTTTAAAAGCAATTGTCACAAATGTGATTAGATCGCTAAGTGCTGTAATCGTTCTACCTTCTCTTTCATCTTCTCGATCTTCTTCACAGAGCTGCGCCTCTGGTATTTGTCCTCCATTCGGATGCTGAAGACGGGTTCTCCCCTGCCGATCTGCTTCTCCTCCTGCTTCTCGGCCTCCTTCAGCTTACTCTCGGCGCTGATGCTCTCTGTGTGGTACATGTGGTACGTCTTCATCACCTGGAGACAAACAAAAGTGTCAATAAGCTGCAAAACAGTTATTAAAGAGGCCCTATTATGCTTTTTGGTTTCCCCTTTTCCTGTAGTGTTATGTGCATGTCAATGGTCTGCAGAGACTAAAATCCCAAAGTTTCCTCAAGAGGGAGTTTCTCTCCCACACACTCCCCCCCCTGCCTGAAACGCCTCCATTAGACACTTACGGGCCTGGCATATGTACTACAGCGTCTCCAGCGCTTTCGAACGTAGTGAAATCTATGTCCTTTCTATGGCTAGCGCTTCAACACATTGTAAGGACAATAAGGGGCGGGTACATCTCTAGCTGTTGATCAATCACAAAAGACCCAGCCAGCTAACCAATCAGACCAGACTGGGCTCTGGTTTCTGACAGAGGGTGAAAAGAGGTATGCAGCGCTTCTTAAGATTGGCAAAGGGCAAGATCCTGAAAACGTGTTATGTTATGGTGAGGTCAAAGGTCACAGTAATCCATCTTCATAGAGGAGACTGACCTCTTATAACCCACAACTAAGGTTTCCATCCTTGGACCCTGTCATTCATCAGCTCTCAACTCATCTCACAGCTGGCAGTCTGTCTCTCCGTAAACCAACAAACCAAAGACAGATTCTCTCAAGACTTTGTATGAGGCCCCTCATATGACCACAACCACCACAAATCACTGCAGCTAAATCTAACATGGGGCCTTCCTTGATCTGAGTTTTCCTGCATCTGGGTTTCACTCAGGTTGAGGTTATAAAGGGGTTGGTGTATCTTTGAAGCTCTATTTTGTTTTAAAACATGAACAAAGTTATACCTCGCTAGTTCCAAAATGTGTATCTGTTTAGCATGTAGGATATGGCTCTTAAATATTTCCTTATAGAGATCTATGTGATGCTATACTGAAGTATAAGTTGAATTCTTCCACCCCTTGTGTCGTCACGTACTAGAGAAAAGCTTCAGCTTGATGATGAACAACTGATAAGAACTACTTCCTAAAGTCTGAGTCATCCTCTTCAGAGTAAGTTGGAGTGCGAGCGTTACTCATACACACTCCATGAACCCATTGGAGGGTGACTCAATCGTAGAGTAGCAGGTTAACAACAAAACACTAACACTGAGTTCTTGAAGAGAGCAAGCGGGTATAAAAGTCTCATTAGCACTGGCTACCATCGTCAGGAGGAGTGACAAATGAGGGGGCTCGAAGGACGGAGCTGATGAATCACTTGCTGTGGGAGAAAAACGTAATCCTTTGACGATAACATGGAGTCATCAGCAAGAGCGCTGAACTCCAATCAATGGGCATTTACATTATTATAACTAATTTGTATGTAAAATAATTGTATGGGCCCTAGTAACGTCCCACCCCTTAATTCATTTCCCAAACCACATTCTGGTGTTGGGTATATCAGTATAAAAAGCCAAAAAGCAGGTGCATTGCTCACAACATCTCATGGGTGTAGGAGTGGAGAGAAGGAGAAGGGAAAGACTTTACTTTATTGAAAGAACTATCTTTAAAGTTTTAATTATAATTATCCAAACATTAAAAACATAAACTGTCAAATATTATATTTATCTTATATTCTCTTTAGAATATATTAGTCAACTTATCAATTATTGAAAGGAAAGTTATCACCGACCATTTTGATAAAGAAAGTCATATTTTGTGCCGTGGCAATAAGAGCAGTTTTTTAGCCTCATATATTGAGATTCTCCAGCTTTCCAGCTTTCGTTTATTTAAAACTGAACATCTTTGGATATTGTACTGACAATAGATAACGTTTAAAGGTATCACATTGGACTTAGAGAAACTAGGGTAGATGATGTTGTTAGTTGCAGCCCCATTTTGGAATAAAGTGTGTTCAACTACAGCAAATGAACTATATTTTGTGAACCGCTTACATAGTCAAACTTCTCCAAACAATGAATCTTCTGAAAAGCTACATACTGAACTAAAAACAGGCTAAAAATACATTCAAACTCCCAGGAGAAGGCGGCGATATGGAGCACCTGTGGTTTAACCTGAAATGAACCAACTCCAACAAACCTGTGTACGCAATACACTCGTCTGCAAAAAACCTCAACGTCAATACAAAAAGAGTCTCACCCATCTCAAAATCCAAACATCTTTCCCCCAAGCTGAGATATTTCTGTACGAGTGGAACAACGAAGCAAAGCGAGATTTGTGTGGAGCGCTCTTGCTCCGGTTTGGTTTGGCCTAACTGGAACCAGTTTAGAGATGGCTGACTGACCTTGGGCCCTGTACTCCTCACTTACTGGTCTGGAGTCTGCCGCTGCTGTGTTTACTTTGGTGTTTCTTTTTAGAGGGACATATTTAGAGATGGAGCAGACCTGTTATTTCATTGGCGGGGTTCGACATCTGTCTGATGCAATAGCTACTGTGTGTTTGAGAATATTTTTGTACGTGTGTGCGCTTTCCCATAGGGGCTAAACCAGGTCATATCTGGAGTGTGGAGCATGGTGAAAGTGACACATATTGAGTTTGGAGTTACAGGTTTGTTGTGTTTGGAGCAGCATGCCCATAATCCTCTGTAGTGAGGAACTGGAGACTGTGAAGCCAACCGAGCTGCTTTTCACTCCATCTCTTGGGAACCAGCAACAACTGCCTCGACTAGTACCTCTATCTGTGTACAACCCAGGTACAGTATATGATCAATATAAAGTTGTTGATCAATGGGAAGGAATGACACACGATTACACAAGACCACAGATTCACAGAATGGTAGAATTATATGTGTTTCTCTCATATGTTATGTATTTCTATGATGTCATGTTTGTAATTGTTGATGCCTGTGAGTGACCTGAAAATAATTTATTTAAGTAGCTTAACTACGGTACATATCACAGAAGCTTGCTAGTAGTTCATGATATTGCCATTTACGATTCAAGTAGTCAGGATCACTTTTTAAGCCGGTCAAATGGTCTAAGAGAGTGAACATTTTAAGAAATTTGAATGTGGCAGCATTTTGGTTCATGAATGACCAGCAACCATTTCTCAAAAACTTAGTTTTGCTGTAGTTCTTGTGTGAAGTAATTGGTAGCTTGCAAAGCAGTGATTTCAAAGAAGCTTGCCCAACAATACTTAGGGTAGACTATATCATTATAAGGATTATAAACCTAAAGCAATCATATAAAAACAACATGGTTTTCATTTAATTCCAGTCGCCCTTTCTAAGAATACACAAGCATCTGATGGTCAAACAACATTTGTGAGGCAATAAACAAGGCAAATAGGCTAGCAGGGCTGACTGGAGCCATTAAGGCAGAGGAATTAGCTATTGATTCATGATTTAAAAACTTTTCCCTGCCAAGGTCATAGCAACTTACAGACAACAATTTCCAGCAAAGGCATTGAACAGAAGAGATTAAACGCCTCCATAGAAACTGGGCAGCAGCTATGCAGATGATTTAACGCTAAAGTGTTATGGTCGGTTAAAATGCTACTAATCCCCCTGAGAAAATGCAACCTCTGGGTTCAAAGGTCTGCAGCCAAAGCTATGTTTACCGTTTTGTGTTTCTGAAAATACCATGTAATCACAACATTCCTGATTTGATTCCCACTGAGGACTTTGATGCATGTAATCTCCCCCTCACTCGAAGGCCTCGTATCTTTCTCTGTCAACTTTTGAATGAAGGCATCATTGCCAAAAATAATTTCTTTTTTTATTTAAAGAAAGCAATATGTATCCACAAGTTGTTATCTGGCTCCAACCAACTGGTGTGGCTTTGCATGCATTTGTTTTGAAGAGCAAGCAAACCAATCTGATAAAAGCCAATAAAACAGAGAATATGAAAACTAAGGAGTCAAGCAAACATGATGCTGAACCTTTGCAGTTTGAATATCCAGGTCATTTGGGTAAGAGAGGTTGTGTTTCAGTTTTGTGTTGAAAAAGAGATTAGACAGACTTTCCATAGAAGTTGATAGGTGCATATTTAGTTGAATGTTTAATTTGTTATTCCTTCAACATCTCCAACAACTCAATGCTATAAATCAGTCTCCACCACAGCACAGACTAATGTAGACTTGAATTAGTAAAAGAAGAAAAAGAAGGCGAGTCTTACTACTTACTGTGTATAGCTCATTAAGGACCTTCATTAAGTCTTCCTGGAGCTGAAAGGCAATTTCCTTGCTCTGAAAAGGAAACACAGAAGAACAATCAATGAGACAATTACAACAAATCAGTAAATTGAAACAATTAAATACACAAATTAAGTTATCCCAAAGACAAATTAAAGAGTATACCCAATTCAAGCCATTTGTGATTTTCTATTATAAACACGACCTTTATAAAACTGAAACTTGACAAGACTGTTTACTGTATATTTTATACGAATTGCGGACAATGACCAGACACTGACCCGTGGTTTGAATGGTACGAATAAAAAACAGAGCAGTGGATTTATAACTCTGTGTCAAATACAGGGTTTCTGAGTGATAGCAGTATCAGTGTCACGGGGGCCTTTCCACTCTAATCGTCAAACACGGCTCTGGTTTCACCCTCCACATGCTCAACACATTATCTGGCTCCTACGCCTCAATGTAAAAGATTTTTCCCAAATATGTTAACTCAATCAGCCACACCACAAGGCTGACTCAGTAACACACACATACCCACACCCACACCCACACCCACACACACACACACACACACACACACACACACACACACACACACACACACACACACACACACACACACACACAGAGTTTCCTCTGTGTGTCCTCTCTCTGGCCGTGATGGATTTAGAGGGGCTTTCACTATTAATTTGACACTAGAGCTCCCATATTTCCTTCACACTGACTCAGATTATGTGAGTCATGGCAATGAAGTGTTTGATCTCTACTACAGTTGATACTACGCTCTGCTACCTGGATGATGTTACAGCCTCCACCCAGCACTCCAGGTCTTTCTTTAACCCAATTATCCCTAGACAAATCTCATTTTGGGAGCCTCTCTCAGCAAAAGGCGGAAAGAGGGTTCTGTGAAGGTATTGAACCAGCGGGTGTAGTGGGATAGAGTGGCGATGTACTTCTGATCAAGAATGGAGTGCAGTGCTTTTTTAAAGGGCAATAGGCGCTTTCACACCAAGTACTTTTCCCAGGAACTCTTTAATTCCTGAACTATCTCGTAGATTGCGTTCACACCGGAATAAGTCCCTGAGGGAGGATTACCTCTCTCTTGATCGATAACCGTTGTGGTTTTATTTGTACACCCTCGCACCTCACTACTCCTACCACTGCCGCGAAGACCGCTAAATGGCCCTAACCCACCGTCAATGCGGCCTTCAACAAACCCGGACGGTCATTTAGGGGTTTTCGTCTCTTTGCTTCACTGCAGTCGC